CCTACATATACCCATCAATCGATAGAGCATCCTCGATAACCCTATGCTTGGCCCGAACATGCCCATCACTTGTCCTCGCAATAGGGGCAAAAAGTTTGAACCCCCTTGGGTACCTTTCAGTAGTCAGACTTGAGAACGCAAGAGTACCCCGGATGGTACGACTTGAGGACCCAAGAGTAACCCGGATGGTAAGACTTGAGGACCCAAGGGTATCCCCGAATAATAGGACTTGAGGACCGATAGATGTCCTGCAATAGTACTACCGTTACCCCGTTCTCGGGTAACTGGTAACTGGCCGTTACCGTTCCCGGGTAACTGGTAACGGAACCGTTTCCAGTTACCCGGGAACTGGTAACGGAACCGTCACCAGTTCCCGGGTAACTGGTAACGGAACCGTTACCGTTAGCCAGGTAACTGGTAACTTCTTCCGTGTGAACCGTTACCGTTACCGTTACCGGGTAACGGTCTGGGAACGGTAACTGCCGACCCCTAGTCAAGTCAGGAATATTAAAACAATTTTCTCAAGTCAAGTCAGGAATATTAAAAAATTTTTCCAAGTCCAGTCAAGTCAGGGTATTAAAAAATTTTCCCAAGTCAAGTCAAGTCAAGTCTGACTTGACTTGACTTGGACTTGAGGCATTCTTGACTTGACTTGCCAAGCTCTGTTCCGCACCCACCGTGGTCACCAGACCGTGCGCCATCCAATTATCATCTGTTCCTCTCTCTTCGAAACTATCTTCGCAACAAGCACTATGAAGACTTCGATGAGCTAAAATCTGACCTTACTGCCTTTCTCGAATCACAACCAGCTAGTTTCTACAAACGTGGAATTGAACTATTGCCAACTAGATGGGTGAAGGTTGTCGAAAACAGAGGTCGAAAACGAACCGAACCGAACTCGAACCAACTTTTTGAAAATAAAGTCGAACCGAACCGAACCCGAACTGACTTTTAGAAAATGGAGTCGAACCGAACCGAACTCGAACCACTTTTTCAAAAATGAAGACGAACCGAACCGGACCTGAAGTAATTTTGAAGCAAGAAAAGTTGAACACGGTTTAATGTCCAATGACAAAAAAGTAACTAAACTATCATTGATTTAGAGAAGTATAATGCCGTCAAGAAAGATAAAAACGAACATTTATTAATTGTTTCACATGCTTAATTTAATATCTGTGTATTGCTGTATACTTTTTCTCTTAGTTTTAGTTACACAAATTGTATCTATGATGACAGATCACTTTTATGTGGCATAATTCTTTGATTTTTCTTTTGTAAATTCCTTCATTTTTCTAAAATGCAATGAATAATCGTCCACGGTAACATGAGATTAGTATCAGCATTAGAATATTTCTAATTCTCGTGTATCAATGTTAACATATAATTTAATCTATAAATGTATTTAGCAGTGTTAAATGACACGAATATGAACTTCCATATGACAATTTTGATCGTCTGAAAACTCAGTTTTGATTTTTGACCTAGTCTTGATTAAATGGCAGTAATACTACTTGAGTCGAACCGCAGCCGAACTGTTTTCTTAAAGACCAGCCGAACCGAACCGAATCCGAACCGGTTTTCGAAAAATCCATCTGAACCGAACCGAACTCGAACCGTATTTTCAAAAGTGAAGTCGAACCGAACCGAACCGAACTCGAACCTATTTTCCAAAAGCGAATCCGAACCGAACCGAACTCGATCTAGAAAAACTCGACTCGATTCGACCTCTGGTCGAAAACAATGGCGATTATATTGTTGGCTAATGCTTCATATCTTTGTTGAAAAATAAATTTATTGGTGAAAAAGAAAAAAATGTACAGAACTTAGGTAACAATGGGACACCTGTCGGATTCGATCCATTTTAGAACGGAATCCGGTGTCATCCGATACTGGATCGATCGTTTCCGGTAGGATCCGCAGGTAGGATTGGTTATCCTGGTTACACTGGTGATAGAAATATAATGGTTACTTGTACTAGTCTTAAATTAAGATGTAAAATTTGTTCAGTTCCATCCAACTGATAATGAAAGTTTTGTATATACTTTTTTTTTATAAATAAAATTAATTTAGGTATTTGTGATGTGGATTGCCTTATGACAGAAGGTTCTCGTGATGTATATGTTTTTGCTTTTGTGAATAGTAATGATGAATGTGTTATGGAATATTATGTATCAGTTGTTAAAGATCTTGCATCACATGATGTTGTTTCATAGAGAATGTTAATTCAATTTTATTAAGGACGGTTTGTTACCTTTTTACATCGCTTAATATATGTTTATATAGCCTTAGTTTCTATTTAATAGTAGTATTGAGAAAGATAAAGATAATATTTTTCTTCAATTGACTTATTCAGATTCGAAATTATTGCATGAACGTTTATCAAATATTAGTGAAACAGCAATAATATTTTTCAGTGTTCATGTCACTAAATAATCAATATCTATTTTACCAACCGTTCATGATAATACAGATGCTGTACAATCGAATTATAAAAAATCAAGTTATAGAAGAAAAAAAAATGGAAAAGGTGTTGTTGTTGTTGTTAAAGATTTACAACTAAGATCGATAGGAAAAGCGTAATAGAAAATGGATCCATTTCAATATATGCATAGACTGAGAATCTTAGTATTACATTACTTAAATTATGCTTACTTTTATAGCAATGAGTAGATGAATATGATTATTCAAATTTGGAAAAAAAGTCCAATCATTTATCAAAAACAAAAACTAATGGAACAAGCAATGGTGGCCCGACTGAGGGTGTGACACTCCCAATCATGAAAAATTTTCGCTTTTTTCCAGCGAAATGAGAAAGTTTTTTGGTTTTCTGTTAGGAAAATATTACATCGTGCACTCAAAAAATCGGGACAGCTCCTCCGCCCAATGTTGGTTACCTCGGGCCACCACTAGCGTTACTTGTTTATATAATCTGCTGATACACATTTTTACTTTAACAGATTTAATTTTCAATGGATAACCTTTCGTTTCTGATTTAAGAATGTTCGATGTAGACATATTATGTGTTGTTAAGTTCATTTTATTTATTCATCATTGATTTGTAAATTCATTTATTGTTATTATTAGTGAAAAATAAAAAGATGTGTAAAAAAACTGATCATCACATTTGATATGTTTTAAGTGTAAAAATAAATTGATTCTTAACAAAAAAAAAACATTTTTTTGGGCAGGATATTAGTGTTATTGTTTCCATCTTGGAGTAATTTTTGTATACATTCTGATGTGCAACTAGAAACGAGTATTAGTATAATTTAATACTAAATAAATTTTTACATGTTATGATTTGATGATAATCATTGGGAACTCGGAAACTTGGACAAGAATTACATAATTGAGCACTAAAAAAATGATGTCCTTGCATTTTCCGTAAAATTATAACATATAGAAAATAAAAAACAAAAAGATTTTTATCTGACTGAATATCAAAAATAAAAGATCTTTTCAACTGATTTAACATACAAAACAAAATTCAGAAAAATTTCGCTTTATTTATATTTAAATATTTTCGCAATTCTTTTTCAAACAAACGTTTAAGTACAAAGAAGCAAAGAAATATTTGCAGTTTCATTTTTATTATAGCAATACGAAAAGTATATTTCCATCTCTTGTATTAGGAACTTCCGTTCGAAAAGAACGAGTATTTGAATTCTGCAGATCACGCAATCTTTTATCATAAAGTTTACCACGTTGTAATTCACCATCAAGAGTGAGAAAACTTAATTTTGAAAGACCATTGATAAGTATATGTGCCACTTCAATAATTTCACAAACAATACCATGTAGTTCTATGACTTGTAAATGAGATAGTCGCTCGACAATTGAATAAGCAATGTTTAACAAATTTGATTGTTTCCAAACAGTAAAAAGATTGAGTTGTCGTAAACCATTTGACATGAGCATGTTACATAAAGAACTATCGCTAAGGAGATCGATTAAAGTTTCCTCTTTTAAACCAATTTTACTATCAAATTCTAATCTATAATGCAGTTCTAGAGTACGTAGATTCGTCGCTTGCGAAAAGAGAAGATGAAGATGATTTCGATTAAATGGTTCAGCAATAGTAAGTGATGTAACGTGATGCCAAGGAACTATGGGTGGTGAAAAAGAAAGAAATTCATCGTTCATTCGATCATAATCTTGACTCATAATAATCTTATTACAGCGAAGCAATTGATTGTTGAAGACAAATCTATTATCTGACCATAGAGTTCGTCTAAATTCAAAAAATGTTTGTAATAAAAAAATAACTGTCTATCTATACCCATGCACAATATTTTTATGTAGATATGTATAGACATATAACCGTTTATCCATTCTTGGTACTGTTAAAGCTCTAATATCATACATGTCTTTTAATAAAGATAGTTCTAATTCAATTGGCACTGGTCCTTTGAGCTGTTGAAATGTGTCGAATAAAATTTTGCTTGTTTCCGATATTGACACAACGGTTTTAACAGACCATGTAATATCAAACGAATATAAACATTGACTGGAAAGCATGAATTGTAAATTATGAAGAACATGGAGACCAGCCACTTGTGCTAATAATCTGAAGTTCATTAATGAAAATAAAAGATCACGTTCAAATAATTCATTAATCGATTCTGGATTCATTATAGAAGTAAACCATTTTATTGTTAGGCAGTATAGATTTGGAGCAAGACGTTTATTAATGGGAGTGATTCGACTAAAATGGATTAATAAGACTACTTTGCAACAATAAAAAATGCATTACTTATATTATATTTAAATATTTCATGGAACGCACAGTTTTCTTTTATTTATCTACTCCAGTTCGTACGCCAGTGTCAGTATTCTTGCTATATATTTATTGTGTTCATTTAAAAATCTAATACATAACTCAATTGTAATTCATCAACTATTTAAAATCTCCTCGCTATTCTTAATATTTGACTCTAAAAGTGAATACGAATTATTGAAAACGTATCTTATTATTTCATAAATAATTCAGTTTGAACTTTAATTTCTTCTGATAAAATGATTAGATATTGTCTCTTCTATCATACGCTCCACATTGAGTTCATAAATTAAAATATACATTCAATTAAAGAAAGAAACTTACTTGTAATCACTATGTCTTAGTGGATGGTTTTTAGGTAGTCAAGGATCAGTTCGTGTATAGGTGAGTTGTTGCAATTGTGGGAGATGTTCAAATAAATGTGACAGAAAGCTTGGTGAGCAATAAAGTGTAAGTGATTGTAAATTTAAAAGACCGATTAGAACAGGCATAAAAGTTCTGTCAGGTGGTAGAATAAGTTCACTGTCTAGAGTAGAATGTATGTATGGCCGGAAAAGCAGATGACATACACGTAATGAAGGAAATATGTGAAAAATTCGTTCATAATATGCACCTTCAGGTACACCTATAAACGTATAAGTAGAACGATCATCATCAATTGAAAAGCATACACTAAACACGATGAAAGAATTAATAGGTGACAATGAGTTAAGAATCAATTCAAAAGAAGAACGTTTAATGTCGATTAAAGATAAATGACGAAGATTGATAAATGTAGATACATGTTCAGCTAACCATAAACCATTATCGATAGCTAATGTATCTGAGACACATAATGAAATAAGACGGCTGGAGACGTTTGACTGTGATAAATGCATATAATAAAATTTGGTCACTGCTATACTCATTCCGTTCAAACCCAAGTAAACAGGAATAATTGATAGATTGTCCATAATAGCAGCAAATCGTGAATTAAGATTAGAAAAAATATCAAATACTTCATGAAGCTGGAAATAAGTAAATATTTCTAGGAATATTTCGACAGAGAGATTCTCTAATGTTGTTACCATGATTTGTTTTAATGTCATCATATTGAATATTGTGCATCATTCTTATATAATGCCTTCATAAACAATAATACAAAGCATTATTGTTCTTCCTTCCAATAGTCATCGCAAGAAGATGATATAATTATTGTTATTCGTCAGCTTCATAGGTCATTGTATATACGGTTTATGTTGTCTTTTTTCTTTTGATCATTTCTCTCAATAGCGTGTTTATTATAAGAGTTGACAATAAAATTTTTCCGATAGTCATGAATTATCTTTTTTGCTTTGTTTATATGAAACTCTTTTTTTTCTTTTTTTTGTTATCACATATGTTTAAATATTTTTGGAAAAAAACTGCATAATAATTATTAATAATAATTAAAGCATCAATTATTTTTTCATCGTCGTATGTCATCATTTGACTTCCAATGATCATTTTTTTTTAATAGCTGAACTGGTGAACAGTATAAGACATCAAAATTCTATTAGTCTTCAATGAACTTTGAACATCACTTAAATAGATTTTTGGTCAAAAGGAAATTAAAAGTTCTTTTTTTTTTTATTTGAAAAAAAACTAATATTTTTCATAGTCTAGCCAATAATAAACAAGCTGTATTTTTCATTCGGTATCATATGAGATGACAAATGTTACAGATTCAATTGCTTCTTCTTCTGATTAGATCACATCTAAATCTGTTGTGATGATATGAAAAGATATAACATTTTGTGCGAATTTCATTCCTGTACTCTTTTCAAATTTAGTATTTTGTTTCTTTAATCCAACAATGAACTCCAAACATTGTGTGACTAGAACATCAATTGCTCAAAATCAAAAAACAGATAATGTCGAACTTCAATTTTAAATAGAACTAGATTAAATTTGAAATAGTAAAAAATGCAATTTTTTTTATACAGTTTTTCAAACGGTCACTAGCCTTTCAAATAAGATATATATTACAGTTTATTATTTCAATAAAAGAGACATACCATACTGATTTATCTTTGTTCTGTTACTAATAAATGTTATCATCTAATTAATGATGCATATTACATTTTTGAGATTTAATTGAGTTTTTTTTGTCTGATTCAAAAACTGATGTCATCATTTTCTTGATTAAATATTAAAGCATTTGATTGTACAATTTATTCTTACAGAGAAAATTAAATATTAAACGTTTAAAGACAAGAATGTTCTGAAGAAAACTTATTAATCATCTGCTTTATCCTTAACTTTAGTATTCTTAAATAATTATCTTAGTAAGATACTAAGATACACAAAGACAAGTAATTATGTAGAATGACACCTTATCTTTAATTTTATCGATGAAGTAAAGTGAGTATACTTTACCTTACGGATTGAAATAAAATGAATATACTTTACTTTTTCAAAGTAAAATAAAGATAAATGTCATCTCTAGTAACTATATTGTTTGCTTGTAATTATTAAACACAGTCTTTGTAGATGCTTTAGTCTAATTAAGATGAGTTTATTTTAAGAACAAGCATTACATATATAATAAATGTGGAAACCTCGGATTTAAATCCGAGAGTTATGTGTACTTCAAAAAGTGAATGAGACTGATTCGTCATCCTAGAATGTGTGGGCATCAAAATCATCCTAGCAAACTTTTTCTATAAACAGTTGATTTTTTGGCTACTGCTGAACCACTAGGATTTACAGATGAATACAGCTCAGATTTGAACTCTTCGTCTTGATTTACCCTAAGAAAATCGTTTTTCCGATAACTTGACTTCTACTGGTTACTGCTCAACCAATAGGATTTCGAGGCAAAGGGAGCTTAGATTGGAGTTCTTCGACCCAAAAAACCTCGAACTGTCATCTCTATGATCGAAAGACAGAGCTCTAATTGTCGATCAATTAGAGTGTGAACACAAACAGAACCAATTGCCGTTTAATTACCCTTGCAATAGGTGAGTTATATTTCTTTATGTTTTATATACTATTTTGTAGCTCGTGAAATTCTCTATCGAACGGTGTATTATAGTTGGGGTTTCCTTTGACTATGATAGGGAAAGTGTTTTACGAATGTGGAGATAGGTCGATTTTCCTATAGGAAGCCATAGGGAAAAATGAGTATTTTTGCAATAACTCAGGAACAGCTCAGCCAATCCTTCTCATCTTCGAACTCGACCGAGATATTCTAACGGCTGAACTGTGTAGAAAATTTCATCGCGATCTGACTCTCCTTTCACAAGTTATCGTGTAAACGGACGGTCGGACACACTGGCCGATTCTAGAGTGTACTCACTTTTTGAGTACACAAAAATAATTATTCGCAATGGAAATGATTTATTATAAATTACACGCAAACATGCGTCTGATTTTGAAAATAAAATAAAAACAATTTGTTGTTGCTATCTCTTTATATTTTCATTATCTTTCGAAGTATAAATATGAATTTACTGTTTCGTGCACAGGTTTCGTAGACCCGATTTAATATAGCTATGATTATAAACTTAAATGTATTGATGAGAATACGACGAAAATGAATATACATACGTTCTGTCACATTCTTTGCTGTTTAAACAATAAACATAGAATACCCCTCGAACTACTTACCTTAAATTCTTTTCTCTTCTAGTCTAGACTATTATATAAAATGTAACTGATAACATGCATGTGCACATATATACAGTGGAATAGAAAAAACGTGTGTATTTGATTCTTTCTATTATAACCGAATTACAAACCATCATGAAATTTGAATTATTACCAAATGAAATTTTCATTGAAATCTTTGAATTTCTTGGTATATTTGATATTTTCTTCGATTTTCAGATTTTTTTTCAGAATGCCAAGAATAGTTATGCCCGTAGCGCATGAAAATAGAGTATTATTTTTGGATCAACATTATTTTCTCAAGGTATATGTTATTCGAAATAATGCTAATCCAGTCTTGGTAAAAAAAATGAAACGACCGATTATTTATGAAAAAACAATCAAACTTGATATTTCGGATGAAAATACAAATAATTATGAACGAAAAATGCTCCTCTTGCAGCAGCAGGTGATAAAACGTTATTCCATTTGCCAGCAGAATTATGTCATATGTTGGATGATAAAACACAAAAATGACATCAAGAGGGTGTGAGTGTGGAGTGTGGAGTGTGGATGTACGAGTTGAAG